CCCCACCTCCTCTCTTCTCTCACATACGTAGGTGGTTGCCAAATGCTTTGATGTGATTTGCTCCTTCCTTCCTTTCTTCCTACTTGACATCTATCGTCCTTATGAGCTTTCTTCTTTCTTTTATCTGTATGTTACTCTCTAGTAGCACTTCAACTCCTCTGCACTTATGTGACCTATTTGTACTGTAAGCGCCGTAAAACTCTTAACTAAAACTAAACTTAACATTCCAGCTTCCAGAACAGCACGCTTCCCTCCCCTGTCGTGTGGAATGGCTCCTCCTACTGGGCTAGTTTCACTGAGAAGAGTTTCTGTAGGGGAAACCGCTTCAAGGTCTACAGCGGTATTGTCAACGGGGACGGTCAGTGGCGTGGAGGAAAGTGTGTGGTCAAGGTGTTCAAGGAGACGCCTGGAACCAAGGTATGTCCAGTAGTTCGTGTTCGTTCGTTCGTTCGCTCGTTCGTTCGTTACTTCGTCCGTCCGTTTGTTTGTTCCGTTTGTTTTGTTTTAGTAGAGGTTTTACGGCCCTCGGAACTTGATAAGTTCATATGAGCGCCAAGGGCTGGATGTCAACAGAGAAGTCCTTACAGAGAATTAGGCTTACTCTGCTCACCTCTCTAGCTTCAACAGCACAAAGTCTGCTTCGTCTATCACAGCACCCCGGGAATAGCGGGTCACAAGAGAAAGAAGTTGAGGGAAAATGACGATAGTAAGGATTAGGAAAGAAAAAGCAGCAGTCCCCTGTTTCAGTTCAGGCACAGTTATGAGCATGACGTTGATAAATCAGCCAATTCACAATTCTGTTGTGCATAAGAACATGACGCCTTTGGGAATAGGGGGGGGGGGGTTCCTTTGTTTGTCTGTTTGTTTGTTTAAGTAAAGAGGAGCACATCGATACAACATCAGTCGTTTAGTGCTGGAGAAAGACAATACAAACAGACAGACACATATTGTGCAAAAGAAGAATAGTAAAGAAACAGGACATACAAGTGGCGTCCTCCAACAACTAGGATTTGGTAGTTTAAAAAATTGTAATCATAAGTACTTTTTACTCACATGGACACTATTTATATAATTCAAGAGGCGGACTGCCTGGGCGAAACTGGGCTGGTTGGAATAAAACGTCCCAGAGAGGAAAGATAGAGATAGTCGATTACGTAAAACCAGACTCAGGTCTCTTGCGTGCAATGACGACCAGCCTTGCTACTACGTCATAGACGCCGGAGCTTTTCTAAGCACAGACTAGTGGGAAAATATTACGTAGGCTTTGTGACCAAGCAAAGCAGGCTTAGGGGACACACTTCGGTAACTATCAAACATACAATGTGTACGTATGAAAAACGATAAAGATTTGTACCTCTTGTGAATGTGCGGTGATTTTGAAACATCGCCCCAATTTTCCCTTTTCATCCTTAGTGAGGTGCAGCAAAGTGTAATAAATAATAGCTCTATTTTGATACCTACGCCTAAATTCCCTTTGACGAAATCATAACGTATGGATGATGCTCGAAGATTTCCCACCTCCCAATTCGAGCGCTTTGTACGGTTCCACGGAAACATTGCATTTAGCTCTTAGTACAAAAATGTCTTAAATAATAACACATCATCTCAAGTTTAAACCGTTCCTATTTCCCACAGGTGCTGTGCGCGTGCGAGGTGAAGAAATCGGACAAGTCACGTCAGCTGAACCAGGCCTTCAACCGTATGGCTGGCCGTAAGTCACGTGTCCGCACCACTGCCCTGTACTGGGCGCCCATGGACGAGGTCTCCGTGCTGAAGAAACTCTTCTTTACTGGCCGACGGCGGCTGACCACTAATGAGATTGTCCTGTTTGAAGACGACCTGAGGGTGGACGAGGAGAGGCCAGGGAAGGAGAGAAAGCTGACGCTGTACATGGACAGCAGAGGCCGCCAGCCGTACTGCAAGGCCAAGGATCTGGAGGCGTTCTCTCACTTCTCGTACCATCACTCACAAGGCCAGCTGGTGGTGTGTGGTCTCGAGGGCGTGCACGATTCCGATGGATTTGTTGTCAAGACGCCCACAATACATTCCAGAGAGAGGGAGTTCGGTTCTTGTGACCGCGGCGAGGTGGGTATAAGGGAAGTGTTTGAGCATCACGTGTGTAATGAGATCTGTAGGGACCTGATCAAACCGGCTACAGAGGAAGAGGATGACTTCGATGACGACATTGACGCTGCAGCCGAGAGGAGGTGCTCTGTTTCTGATGATGTCACATCCTCGCCGCCATTGCTAAGGCAGCAGTCGACGGTGTCCCAGAACACGGAAAGAATGTCCGATTATCTGGAGCCAAGTGCTCCTGGTCTCCACGAAGATTTACACCCTTTTGAACCTCTTTCCACGCCCAATCCGTGGATGGCTGGATGGATGCCACGAGACCAATCTGAGAACGTCTTCATCCACGGCCCCATGCCCCAAAGCATCCAACCCCATTCCAGACAAGTTCCCATTTCTCTCCCCACTCAGATGAGCGTGGACAGCGAGCTTTCAACACCCGACGCAAAGACCCCCACTTCCAGCAGCCACAACGAATGTACGCATAAAGCCGACCAGGACCGAGAGAATGCCAACACAACTACTTCTGTCTCCAGCCACTGCTGCACAGTTTTCTCTCCCATGTCAAGTAGCGCCTGTGGCGAGAGCGGTCTTCAGATTGGCTGCTCTCAGTGCGGAGACAACCGCCGTGTTCGCTTCAGTCTGTCCACGGGCGCCACTTCCGGAATCGGCACCGGGTTCGGCACCGCCACCACCGGAAGTGTCGCCAACAGCGCCAGCAGCTCACCGACCACCTGCCCTCGGTCCATCATGAAACGTCAATATTCTGTTCCTGCTGCTCAGTGCGCCAGTCCTTGCCAGTCCTCCCTCGCTCAGCTGGTCTTCCTCCAATCCTCCCAGACGCCCCGGTCAGAAGAGGTTAACCCAAGAGTTCTTCCGGTGTTCAGATTCGCCCCGGGCCCAGTGCCTGAGAGTATGGAACTGCCGCCATCTTACCAGGAGTCCCAGAGCGCCTACTGTTCCTTGTGGCTGCAGCAGCACGAACTAGAGATGAACGCTGCTCTACATCCGGTGCTGGCAGACGACGCGAACGGCAATCGAGTCATCGGCAACGTTGTCCACTCCACGCAGCTCTGAAGCCTGGACTGCACACAAGATCTCCGTAACAGTGGGGCAATAGCTCTTGGAAACAAAACACAAACAGTGGTTCCTCCAACGTTCACCTTCCTTGTTAACAGTCTCTAAATAATATCCCCCTCCCTCCCCTCGATTCGCCTTGTGTAGCGTAAGATGTCATGTTACTAGTATCCTAAAAAGAACAAGAACAACGATATATATTTTTCAACGCACGTTTGGGAGATTTATTTTTCAAAGTATTATTATTGTAGCAATCACACATGGTTAGTACTCTGAAACGACACCACAATAATACGTCACCGTCCCGCCTCCTGGTTTTTAAAAAATTTTTTAATTAGAAAATAAATTTGTCTTTTTAGTTCTTATTTTTCAAACAAGAATCAACATACATTATACATGTAGCCTACTCAGGTAAGGGTCGACACACCCAAAGTGATAGGCCACCGTTGTGTTATTACACGGACATGCTTGGACATTCTGCATGGACGTGTGAACTCCAACCTCCTTTTAAAGACCACGTCATTTTTTTTGTACACCAAGGAACCACTATTAAGTATTACATTTTCATATTATAATGTGTAGGGCTTACTGTTCACGGGATCTTTAATCATTACATTCATACCCAACACGGTCACGTTTTACGGATGCGGTCATCATGGCAAGCATGAGAAGGTGCTATTATAATTGATTGAGACAAATTAATATTTTCATGGCTTTAAAATCAATGACTTCTCCTTGTTTGGTTTGCTGGGTTCTTGATTTCACCAGTGTAGTAAATAACTTCAATCGGAGTTAAATTTTATGTCTGTTTTCTTAATCCAGTTCAATACTTTGTAGTGCTAGAATGTTTATCGTTTTGGATTCTTCTGCTCTTTTGTTTTTGCTTGTTTTATGTTGGGTAAAATCCCTAACGATAAAGGACCTGTACCAGCACACTATGATACCCTCATGCACGCACTGACGCGTGCGCACACTCACACAGACACACACACACACACACACACACATTCTCACACTCATACGAACACACACACATACGAACACACACACACACACACACACACACACACACACACACACACACACGAATACACACACGTGCGCGTGCACTCACTCACGGATCCTCTTTCTCGTATTTCTCTCTCTCTCTCTCTCTCTCTCTCTCTCTCACACACACACACACACACACACACACACACACACACACACACATACACACACACTCACATACTCTCTCGCACACACACACACACACACACATACTCTCACACATACTCACACTCGCACACACACAATAGGCACTCACACACTACATGTACTTGCACACACAAGCACGCTCTTCTAATACACTTGTCACAAATTCATGCGTACCCACGCCTTCAACTTCAGGCTCTCTCGCACACTCTCTTGAAAACACTAATATTATACATTTGTGCGTTCACACACTCTCTCTCTCTCTCTGTTCTCTCTCTCTCTCTCTCTCTCTCTCTCTCTCTCTCTCTCTCTCTCTCTCTCTGTCTGTCTGTCTCTCTGTCTGTCTCTCTGTCCCCCTCCCTCTCTCGCTTTCTCTCTCTCTCTCTCTATCTGTCTGTCTGTCTGTCTCTCTCTCTCTCTCTCTCTCTCTGTCTCTCTCTCTCTCTCTCTCTCTCTCTCTCTCACACACACACACACACACACACACACACACACACACACACACATATATAAATACATTGTAATAATATACACACCACACATTCTCGTATTCATTCACCCTTTCTAGCAGTGAAAGGAAAGAGTGCTCATGTGTTTGCTATGGGTTCATTGTACAAAAATATCCTTTGGCAAGGAAGATGGAGGTGTTGGCTAAAGATTTGCGGAGGCTCTAGACAATAAAAACGAAAAAGATTTTTTAATACCTTCGCCCATGCAGCGCAAATGTCTTTCTTTATAATATAGATCTAAAATTTGTAAGTCTTGCTTACATTTTATATCTTATTTTTGTTATCAATATTATTTCAACATTTGATACTGTACATAACACGTGTTTTATCATTTTTGGCTGAAACATATTAATTTGATGTTTTCCTACAAATTTATTCGAATGTATAGTACCACATTTAGTTCTGGCTAGATTACCGTGTAATCTAGACTGCACTGAGCGCACCATTGTGACGACACTGATCAAAATATTTATGCCTGCTCATATAGAATAGACGGTGGAACGTTTCTGTATGAAGTCAGTGAATGACCGTTACAAATTAGGCTTTCTCAACTGCATCTCGCGGCCTCAAAATATTCTGAAACAAAATCCCAGATGTTAGGAACTCCTCAATCAATCTCATGACTCGAAGAGATAAGGTGCAAATTACAATTTGCTGTTCTCCATTCCATGAACTACCGGGGCTTTTCACAGCAAGCAGAAAATATACGTCATGTTTTGTGTGGTCTGTAGAATTAGAATGTCATACAATATGTATTCTACTTTTTTAAAAATGATAGGTCGTCCATCAATGCCTGACGAAGACTAACGCAACTGCCGATCAGAATATTTCTTACTAAGCAAAACAGAAGGAAAAGAAAAGGGTGTGAAGATTACTTGTAGTTTCTGCTATGGCTAGGCTAGTGAGATAAATTCTTCAGAGAAGATAGTGTTTACATTTTGATAATCTATTCAAGGAATATACTAAAGAGGAATTGATAGTAGCCTTTGAGCTATTGATCCAGGATGTGAGAACCGAAGTAGAACCGCTACACAAGCATTTTACCTGTTACATACATGTCCACAGAGTTCTGTGTACTTATCTCATAACTGTGGTTACAGCTCCTTAGCACTAAAACTATTTGGAGTGCGGCTGTGTGGGTTCTTATTCGTAGGTGGGAAAATATGGAGTACTGTGCGGTTAACTGGACCTGTTGTTTACTCCACTGTCCAGTGCCAAATAGACGTGGTTTTGTTGTCTGGTCAAGTTCTTCCTCCGTATTGGTTGAAAATTTAGGAGAAGGATGGGCGGG